AAAAATTATTTGAAAAGGAATTTAACAACACTGTAGTAAAAAAATATGAGAGAGGCTAAGTCCAGGTTTTTAAAAATAAGGAATTTATGTGTTCAGATGTGTTCAGGGGCATGCAACTTCACTGTCAAATAAAACAATGTGTATTCTTTTTAAAGAATAAAAATGAGATCCCATTTTAAAATAGCAAAGTAGCAAAAAGTCTTAAAAATTACTGTTTCTGGCTATTGATTGTGGAACCAAATAAAATTAAATTGCTGACCACTTTAAAAAAAAATTACTGTTTCTCCTGGATTACTGAAGGTATGAGGAATGAACACATATAAATAGTGCTAGAAAAAGAATTAAAATCTAACCCTACTGAAAGACAGTAACAGTAATAAAAGGATTTTCTAAAACACTACTAATTTTCTTCATGCATCTTTTGATCTGGCCCTGGAACTTTTAGGAATTCATTCAAGGCCAACAACGACAGTTGTGTTTAACTTGGCCACAAAGATGCTCATCTCATCAGAGTTGGGTTCGGTCGATTAAAACTAATTCTACTAAAAAAAATTTTAAAAAATAAAAAAAATTAAAAAAAAACTAATTCTACTGAAGTTTATGGTAAACAAGCTGAAGATTCAAAACCTGAGGATCTCTGACTTTTCCTCACCTTTTACCATTTCTCCCAAAACAAAGTCATTCATGGCTTTATAATCATCTCAATGTTATCTACTGCACTATTAGCTGAAGGTTGACAGTTCGAGCCCACCCAGAAGAGCTTCAGAAGACAGTCTAGCGATTTGGTTCCAAAATACCATGACCTTGGAAACCCTGTGAAGCAGTCCCAACCTGCATGCATAATGTCGCCATGAGTTGAAAATGACGTCACAGTAACTATCAATAACAAATCCATCAACTATTCTTGAATATATAGACCTCCCCCGCAACAAAACACACCCTCTTAACTGCAGAATGAGAAAACAAATCTGCTAAGTAGTATTATCATTTGTTCGGATTTCTGTTGTTGTTATGTGTCATCGAGTC